CACTCACCTACTCACTCACCCACTCACTCACTCACCCACTCACCTACTCACTCACCTACTCACTCACCTACCCACTCACCCACTCACTCACCTACCCACTCACCCACTCACCTACTCACTCACCTACTCACTCACCCACTCACCTACTCACCCACTCACTCACCTACTCACTCACCCACTCACCTACTCACTCACCTACTCACTCACCCACTCACTCACCTACTCACTCACCCACTCACCCACTCACTCACCCACTTATCTACTCACTCACCCACTCACTCACCTACTCACTCACCCACTCACTCACCCACTCACTCACCTACTCACTCACCCACTCACTCACCTACTCACGCACTCACTCACCTACTCACTCACCCACTCACTCACCTACTCACTCACCCACTCACCTACTCACTCACCCACTCACCTACTCACCTACTCACTCACCCACCCACTCACCTACTCACTCACCTACTCACCCACCTACTCACTCGCCTACTCACTCACCCACTCACTCACCTACTCACCCACTCACTCACCTACTCACTCACCCACTCACCTACTCACTCACCCACCCACCCACTCACCTATTCACTCACCCACTCACCTACTCACTCACCTACTCACCTACTCACTCACCCACTCACCTATTGTACTCACCTACTCACTCACCCACTCCCTCACCCACTCACTCACTCACCCACTCACCTATTCACTCACCCACTCACCTACTCACTTCCCCTAAAAACAACCTCACCCACCCACTCACCTATTCACTCACCCACTCACCTACTCACTCACCTACTCACCTACTCACTCACCCACTCACCTACTGTACTCACCTACTCACTCACCCACTCACTCACCCACTCTCTCACTCACCCACTCACCTATTCACTCACCCACTCACCTACTCACTTCCCCTAAAAACAACCTCACCCACTCACTCACTTATTCACTCACCTACTCACCCGCTCACTTACCCACTCACATTCTCACTCACGCACCCGCTCACTCACTCACCTACTCACCTACTCAGCTGACTCACATAGTCATCCACTCGCTCACTCACCTACTCACCCACCAACTCACTAATCCACTCAATCTCTACGAGTGTCTATGTATCTGCCTTAGTGTCTATGTACAGTGCGGGAAAAAAGTATTTGATCCCCTGCTGATTTTTTACGTTTGCCCACTGACAAAGAAATGATCAGTCTATAATTTTAATGGTAGGTTTATTTGAACAGTGAGATACAGAATAACAACAACAAAATCCAGACAAACGCATGTCAAAAATGTTATAAATTGATTTGCATTTCAATGAGGGAAATAAGTATTTGACTCCCTCTCAAATCAGAAAGATTTCTGGCTCCCAGGTGTCTTTTATACAGGTAACGAGCTGAGATTAGGAGCACACTCATGGCCAAGACCAAAGAGCTCTCCAAGGATGTCAGGGACAAGATTGTAGACCTACATAAGGCTGGAATGGGCTGCAAGACCATTGCCAAGCAGCTTGGTGAGAAGGTGACAACAGTTGGTGCGGTTATTCGCAAATGGAAGAAACACAAAAGAACTGTCAATCTCTCTCGGCCTGGGGCTCCATGCAAGATCTCACCTCGTGGAGTTGCAATGATCATGAGAACGGTGAGTAATCAGCCCAGAACTACACGGGAGGATCTTGTCAATGATCTCAAGGCAGCTGGGACCATAGTCACCAAGAAAACAATTGGTAACACACTACGCCGTGAAGGACTGAAATCCTGCAGCGCCCACAAGGTCCCCCTGCTCAAGAAAGCACATATACATGCCCGTCTGAGAGTTTGCCAATGAACATCTGAATGATTCAGAGGACAACTGGGTGAAAGTGTTGTGGTCAGATGAGACCAAAATGGAGCTCTTTGGCATCAACTCAACTCGCCGTGTTTGGAGGAGGAGGAATGCTGCCTATGACCCCAAGAACACCATCCCCACCGTCAAACATGGAGGTGGAAACATTATGCTTTAGGGGTGTTTTTCTGCTAAGGGGACAGGACAACTTCACCGCATCAAAGGAACGATGGACAGGGCCATGTACCGTCAAATCTTGGGTGAGAACCTCCTTCCCTCAGCCAGGGCATTGAAAATGGGTCGTGGATGGGTATTCCAGCATGACAATGACCCAAAACACACGGCCAAGGCAACAAAGGAGTGGCTCAAGAAGAAGCACATTAAGGTCCTGGAGTGGCCTAGCCAGTCTCCAGACCTTAATCTCATAGAAAATCTGTGGAGGGAGCTGAAGGTTCGAGTTGCCAAACGTCAGCCTCGAAACCTTAATGACTTGGAGAAGATCTGCAAAGAGGAGTGGGACAAAATCCCTCCTGAGATGTGTGCAAACCTGGTGGCCAACTACAAGAAACGTCTGACCTCTGTGATTGCCAACAAGGGTTTTGCCACCAAGTACTAAGTCATGTTTTGCAGAGGGGTCAAATACTTATTTCCCTCATTAAAATGCAAATAAATTTATAGCATTTTTGACATGCGTTTTTCTGGATTTTGTTGTTATTATTCTGTCTCTCACTGTTCAAATAAACCTACCATTAACATTATAGACTGATAATTTATTTGTCAGTGGGCAAACGTCCAAAATCAGCAGGGGATCAAATACTTGTTTCCCTCACTGTATATGTATGAATGTATATGTATCTATATGAGTATCTATGCATCCATATTAGTAGCTATGCATCATTGTGAGTATGTATATCTGTGTGTATCTACCGCTTGAGATAGAGGAAGGGGGAGTGAAAGGGGGAGAGGTGGGGGGGGAACGGTAATTCCCCACCGAGAAAGAGGAAGGAGAGGCGAGTTTAGTTTTGAGTCACTCGTGGCTCACGACGCAGTGTTTACAAAGCCTATAAAGAGACACACAGAGGCACTCACAGATACACACTCACAGACACACTCACAGATACACACTCACAGACACACAGAGACACTCACAGACACACTCACAGACACACAGAGACACTCACAGACACACTCACAGACACACAGAGACACTCACAGACACACTCACAGAGACACTCACAGACACTCACAGAGACACTCACAGAGACACAGAGACACTCACAGAGACACTCACAGACACACAGAGACACTCACAGACACACTCACAGAGACACAGAGACACTCACAGAGACACTCACAGAGACACTCACAGACACATACACAGAGACACTCACAGACACATACACAGAGACACTCACAGAGACACTCACAGATACATAGAGACATTCACAGATACACACAGACACACTCACAGAGACACACTCACAGAGACACTCACAGACTCACAGAGACACTCACAGAGACACTCACAGAGACACAGACACAGATACACAGAGACACTCACAGATACACACAGACACACTCACACATACGCTAACACACACATACACTGACACACATACACACATACACTAACACACATACACTAACACACACACACACTAACACATACACACACTGACACACACATACACTAACACACACATACACTAACACACACACACTAACACACACTAACACACACACACTAACACACACTAACACACACTAACACACACACTAACACACACACTAACACCCACACACACTAACACACACACACACACACTAACACACACACTAACACACACACTAACACACACTAACACACACTAACACACACACACTAACACTAACACACACTAACACACACACACTAACACACACACACTAACACACACACACACTATAACACACACACACTAACACACACACACTAACACACACACACTAACACACACACTAACACACACACACTAACACACACACACTAACACACACTAACACACACACACTAACACACACACTAACACACACACACTAACACACACACACACTAACACACACACACACACACTAACACACACACTAACACACACACACACTAACACACACACTAACACACACACACACTAACACACACACTAACACACACACACACTAACACACACACACACTAACACACACACACTAACACACACTAACACACACACACTAACACACACACACACACACTAACACACACACACTAACACACACACTAACACACACACACTAACACACACACACTAACACTAACACACACTAACACACACACTAACACACACTAACACACACACTAACACACACACACACTAACACACACACACTAACACACACACACTAACACACACTAACACACACACACTAACACACACACTAACACACACACACTAACACACACACTAACACACACACACACACTAACACACACACACTAACACACACTAACACACACACACTAACACACACACACACTAACACACTAACACACACACACTAACACACACACACACTAACACACACACACAAACACACACACTAACACACACACACACTAACACACACACACTAACACACACTAACACACACACACTAACACACACACTAACACACACACACACTAACACACACACTAACACACACACACACTAACACACACACACTAACACACACACTAACACACACTAACACTAACACACACTAACACACACTAACACTAACACACACTAACACACACACACTAACACACACTAACACACACACTAACACACACACTAACACACACGCACAGAGGCATAGACGGAAGAGAGAGAGAGAGAGAAGTTTAGGAAGACGCCGCAGTGAGACTGAGAGGGGTGTGGGAGCAAGGTGACGAGAGAGGGCAGAGAGAGGGGGACAGAGAGAGAGCCTGAGACCACTGCTGCAGCTGCTGCAGGCGGTGCTGCTGCTGCTGCAGCTGCAGGCGGTGCTGCTGCAGCTGCAGGCGGTGCTGCTGCAGCTGCAGGCGGTGCTGCTGCAGCTGGTGCTGCTGCAGCTGGTGCTGCTGCTGCTGGTGCTGCTGCTGCTGCAGGTGCTGCTGCTGCAGGCGGTGCTGCTGCTGCAGGCGGTGCTGCTGCTGCAGGCGGTGCTGCTGCTGCTGCAGGTGGTGAATGCCGTAGCAGCGCTCCGTGAGCGCCAAGGAGACGACCATGGCGTGGAGAGTGGCGACACTCGCTGGTGAGTGACACCTCGGGGACTGTGCGTGACACGTGTGTGTGTGTGTGACGTGTGTGTGTGTGTGACGTGTGTGTGACGTGTGTGTGTGACGTGTGTGTGTGACGTGTTAGTGTGTGTGTGTGACGTGTGTGTGTTAGTGTGTGTGTGTTAGTGTGTGTTAGTGTGTGACGTGTGTGTGTGTGACGGGTGTGTGTGTGTGGCTACGTAGAAGTTCGTCACACACACACACCCGTCACACACACACACCCGTCACACACACACACTAACACACACACACACACGTCACACACACACGTCACACACACGTCACACACACACACACACCCGTCACACACACACCCGTCACACACACACGCACACACCCGTCACACACACACGCACACACCCGTTACACACACACACACACCCGTCACACACACACGCACACACGTGGGAAGGAGTTGGAGGCACTGCCCCTTGAACCGGAGCGTGCCACCAAGAGGTGGTGCCTTACCATCAGCCCCACCAAAACGAAGCGTTGTCTGTCTCTTTATTTTGTGTCATTCCAATACTCCCATCGACTCCTCGCGAGTGACGGAGCAGTTGTGGAGAGAGAGAGTGAGAGAGAGTGTGGAGACGTTTCCCTACCTGGGCAGTGTGCTCGGGACCAGCTCCGCTTTGACAGCAGAGAGTCTCACTCCGAATCAACCGAGTGCCATTATCGTTTCAAAGGCTGCGTAACGCTGTTGCTGCTGCTGCTGCTACCTGGTCTGTCGCTCCACACGACACACTCCGGATCTTCTCGGCCACGGTCATGCCCTGCCTTACTCTTTGGTTCTATTGGGTAAAGTCACCACGTAGGTAAAAAAATAAAATAACAAAAATCACGACGTTTCGGCCGCAACACAAGCGCCCTTCATCAGGTGAAGGGACGAGACTGTCTGGAGGACAGCGCTGGAGTGGGAGAAGCCACGCTCAGATCACGACCTTTAAGCTATGTGAGAAGAAAAAGACCACGCGCCTTGACAAAGGAATTAGCATATAATTTAGCATTGAAATGGCTCATTGAAATAGCTAAGTTAAAGTATACACATCCGCAGAGGCACCCCTTGACAAAGGAATTAGCATCGAATTTAGCATTGAAATAGCTGCCCTCCCTTATCTATGCTCGTGAAACGTGGATCCCTCAAGTGGGACATCTGCAACGGTTTGAAAGATTCAATCGGTGATGGGGCAGTTGTAGAGAGAGTGGAGAGTTTCCCATACCTGGGCAGTGTGCTCATGACCTGCTCCGGTTTAACAGCAGAGGTCTCACTCCGAATCAGTCGAGCGGCAATATCTTTTCGTCGGATGCGTAACGCTGTGTGGAAGCTACCTGGTCTGTCGCTCCGCGCTAAGCTTCGGGTCTTCTCGGCCACGGTCATTCCCTCCCTTCTCTACGCTTGCGAAACGTGGACCCCCCTAATGGAACATCTTCGCCGGTTAGAAACATTTAGGCTGGCCTGCCTACGATCCATCCTGGGTTTAACCAGACTGGATTGTGTGAGGAGCTCACAGGTCCTTGAAAGATCTGGGGTAAGGTCCCATCGGTGAGCTCCTCCAGCAGGCAAGGCTGCATTGGTTGAGTCATGTAGCCCGCATGCCCAGCCACCGCATGCCCAAGCAACTTTTGTTTGGCCGGATCGAGGGGGCTAAACGGGTGCGACACGGGCTATAGACGAGATGGAGCTGATGTGGTACAGGAGGATTTGGAGCTGAGTGGCCTTGCCGATGACTGGTACCAGCGGTGTCAAGATCGGCCTCTGTGGAGGAGGCTCGTGAAGGACGCTACTGGGCAGTTGGAGGCAGTCGCCCTCCAACAACAACGGAGGGCGGACGAGCGACGCTCACAACAACGAGCGGAGCGCCGGGCAGATAAAATGCAGCAAGTTGGCACAATAGGGGCTACAGGTGGTGGTGCATCTGCCAGTCATCTCAGTCAGCCAACCCATGGCACCTGCAGGGTCTGTCCCGTGACCTCCCATACGAGAGCCTTCAAGAGTTCGCGTGGTCTCGAGGTGCACCTAGCCTGGCACAAGCGTCGTAGTGACCTCACCGCCACTTCGTGGCGAATGGCGATTGTTGTTGTTGTTGTTGTGTGACACGTGTCTCTGGGTACGGCTGTTCGAGACACAAAGACAAACCGCACGGGGTGGACTGCCACCTTGTGGTGACTCCGTGCAGTCGATCTCCTTCACTCATCTCGGAGGAGGATCGCAATCCGAAGAGCTACTAAGCTCTTTATCCATAATAGAGGTTTTATTTGGGTTTAGTTCGCATGAATATGAATGTGTTGTTAAACCCGCCACCACCCGACACAGCTAATTAGTGATTTTATTTGTATTAATTTGCACAAATCTCCGTGACTTTACCGAAAGACCCAAAGAATAGTAAGGGTTTGTCACGTTAACAAGACGTGGACAATTCGTTACCAGTACAGCACTAGCCGGCTGTGTGTGTTGGAGAGTAAACCCACTACAACATTTACTATTATAGTATAGTGTACAGTGTAGTGTATAGTGTAGTGTATAGTGTAGTGTGTAGTGTATAGTGTAGTGTATAGTGTAGTGTATAGTGTAGTGTGTAGTGTATAGTGTAGTGTATAGTGTATTGTATCGTGTAGTGTATAGTGTAGTGTTTAGTATAGTGTAATGTATAGTGTAGTGTATAGTGTTATGTATAGTGTAGTGTATAGTGTAGTGTTTAGTATAGTGTAGTGTATAGTGTAGTGTATAGTGTGTAGTGTAGTGTGTAGTGTATAGTGTAGTGTATAGTGTAGTGTATAGAGTAGTGTATAGTGTAGTGTATAGTGTAGTGTGTAGTGTAGTGTGTAGTGTATAGTGTAGTGTGTAGTGTAGTGTATAGTGTAGTGTATAGTGTAATGTATAGTGTAGTGTATAGTGTAGTGTTTAGTATAGTGTAGTGTATAGTGCAGTGTATAGTGTAGTGTATAGTGTAATGTATAGTGTAGTGTATAGTGTAGTTTTAGTATAGTGTAGTGTATAGTGTAGTGTATAGTGTAGTTTACTAGTTCAGCGCTAACCGGTTGTGTGTGTTGGAGAGTAAACCCACTACAACATTTACTATTATAGTACCGTAACGTTTCGCCAGTAATTACAACAACAACCAGCAGCAGCAGCAGCATCAGGCGGACAGCCCAGAGTTGTGGATAAATCCTCCTCCTCCTGTTTGGTTCTTGAATAGAGAACCGCTCTGTTCACAGATGTCCAGAACGCCACGACGAGAGACACAGTAGCAGCATGGGTAGCAGATCTGAAAATTGCGAGATTTTTTTAATTTATTTTAAGGCCCCAAAATCGTGATTTTAAGTGCCCCATAAACAAGTTTAAAAGATTGCGGTTTTCGTTTAATGGAACGTTAAGACGGCAAATAAAATCGAGAGGCATTGTTAAAGATTTCATTGTTTTTTGTTTAGATATTTCACCTACTCTGACCCACCCACTAACTCACCTTCTCTGACCCACCCACTAACTCGCCTTCTCTGACCCACCCACCAACTCACCTTCTCTGACCCACCCACTAACTCACCCGCTCTGACCCACCCACTAACTCGCCTTCTCTGACCCACCCACTAACTCACCTTCTCTGACCCACCCACCAACTCACCTTCTCTGACCCACCCACTAACTCACCTTCTCCGACCCACCCACCAACTCGCCTTCTCTGACCCACCCACTAACTCGCCTTCTCTGACCCACCCACTAACTCACCTTCTCTGACCCACCCACTAACTCACCTTCTCTGACCCACCCACTAACTCACCTTCTCTGACCCACCCACTAACTCGCCTTCTCTGACCCACCCACCAACTCGCCTTCTCTGACCCACCCACCAACTCACCTTCTCTGACCCACCCACTAACTCACCCGCTCTGACCCACCCACTAACTCACCCGCTCTGACCCACCCACTAACTCACCTTCTCTGACCCACCCACTAACTCACCCGCTCTGACCCACCCACTAACTCACCTTCTCTGACCCACCCACTAACTCACCCGCTCTGACCCACCCACTAACTCACCTTCTCTGACCCACCCACTAACTCACCTTCTCCGACCCACCCACTAACTCGTCTGCTCCGACCCACCCACTAACTCGCCTTCTCTGACCCACCCACTAACTCACCTTCTCTGACCCACCCACCAACTCGCCTTCTCTGACCCACCCACTAACTCACCTTCTCTGACCCACCCACTAACTCACCTTCTCTGACCCACCCACCAACTCGCCTTCTCTGACCCACCCACCAACTCACCTTCTCTGACCCACCCACTAACTCACCCGCTCTGACCCACCTACTAACTCACCCGCTCTGACCCACCCACTAACTCACCTTCTCTGACCCACCCACCAACTCACCCGCTCTGACCCACCCACCAACTCACCTTCTCCGACCCACCCACTAACTCACCTTCTCTAACCCACCCACTAACTCGCCTTCTCTGACCCACCCACTAACTCGCCATCTCTGACCCACCCACTAACTCACCTTCTCTGACCCACCCACCAACTCACCTTCTCTGACCCACCCACTAACTCGCCTTCTCTGACCCACCCACTAACTCACCTTCTCTGACCCACCCACCAACTCACCTTCCCTGACCCACCCACTAACTCACCTTCCCTGACCCACCCACTAACTCACCTTCTCTGACCCACCCACCAACTCACCTGCTCTGACCCACCCACCAACTCACCTTCTCTGACCCACCCACTAACTCACCTTCCCTGACCCACCCACTAACTCACCTTCTCTGACCCACCCACTAACTCGCCTTCTCTGATCCACCCACCAACTCATCCGCTCACTCATTCATCAAACTCACCCGCTCTGACCCACCCACCAACTCGCCTTCTCTGACCCACCCACTAACTCACCCGCTCCGACCCACCCACCAACTCGCCTTCTCTGACCCACCCACTAACTCACCTTCTCTGACCCACCCACTAACTCACCCGCTCTGACCCACCCACTAACTCACCTTCTCTGACCCACCCACCAACTCACCTTCTCTGACCCACCCACTAACTCACCCGCTCTGACCCACCCACTAACTCGCCTTCTCTGACCCACCCACCAACTCACCTTCTCTGACCCACCCACTAACTCACCCGCTCTGACCCACCCACTAACTCGGCATCTCTGACCCACCTACCAACTCGCCTTCTCTGACCCACCCACCAACTCGCCTTCTCTGACCCACCCACTAACTCACCCGCTCTGACCCACCCACCAACTCGCCTTCTCCGACCCACCCACCAACTCACCCGCTCACTCATTCATCAAACTCACCCCTCAGCTCGCTTGGCCTCGCTCAGCCGGGCCAGCTTGACCCTGTTGATCGCGCGTCTTCCCAGTGCTCGCTCTGCAGGTCTCTGCCGTCCTCGCTGACATTCAAGACGTCGGGGGCCCCTTGCTATCGTTTGTGCGCCTGCCCTGCCACTTTGACCGAACCGAGGACGTCGACGCGATCACCGTGCAGTGGAAATTCCTTAAAGGTGGCGACGAATTCCCGGTAAAAGCAACAGCAGCAGCAGCAACAGCAGGAGGCGGTGGGCTCGATCCCGACCCTGACGCTTCTTGTATATTTGGAGTTTGCGTGTCTCTCTCTCTCTCTCCATTGTTTTTCCCCCTCCACTTTGCAGAATGGACATCCGTCTTGCATGCATGTTGAACTTATGCCGCCATCGTACGTAGCCAACCGTGCTCATCATTGAGATGATGTGACCGCTGCTCTAAATTTCCACGCGACAAGCTACCTCGTTGAGCTATCGATTGTTGCCAGGTCGCTTACTGATGAAGGGTTACATAGACCTGTGGGCCTCCCCCCGCGGTGAAATCAAACGCACAGCAATGTTTCAGGAGCATGCGGGGGGTTAGGTGAGGTCGGGGTTCGCCTATAAGAGTGTCTCTAAATCTTGATTTGAGGTTTTCGTGACTGCAGGAATCCATAACTCTTTGGTTCGTTCGGTAAAGTCATCACGTAGTAGGTAGAAATAAAACAAGTAATAGATCTCGACGTTTCGATCGCGACACAAGCAATCGTCATCAGGCAGAAAGACGCAACAGCAGAACTGCCGAACAAGAAAGGGCTGAAGTTTTGATTGAAAGCTGGTCGTGACTGCAGGGATTCATATTCTTGGTTCTTTCGGTAAAGTCACCACCACGTAGAAGGGAAACAATAAAAATATAAAACAATGAAATTCTCACGACGTCCGACACAAGCAAACATCATCAGGTGTGAAAAACCACAGCAAGAAAATTTGAAAAAAGTCAAAATTTGAAAGAAAAAAAGTCAAAATTTCTGGCTGCGGTCTTCACACCTGATGATGTGTGCTTGTAGTACCAGGTTTTTACCCTTTTAATTGGCACAAAAAAACTGACATCATGTTTGCAATAACCACAACACAAGCAGTCAAAATGCAAACAAGCATTTGACTGCTTGTGTTGTGGTTATTGCAAACATGATGCCTTGAATAAAGGTGTCAGTTTTTGTGCCAGTTAAAAGGGTAAACCCTATCGCTATAGCTTGTTACTGGCAAAGGAGGTCTCATAATGACGATTGCTTGGTGTTGCAGTCGAAACGTCGTGAGAATTTTATTACTTTATATTTTTATTATACTGGTGGGAACGAAGTTGTAAACTGAGTGTACCAGCCTGCAATAGATTAAAGTGTCTGTCCGTCCGTCCCCTTTCAATACTTTAACGAAGTGAAATCTCGTGCTGTTGGGTGTAAAATCAGCAATAGCCAGCGCAGAGACTTGATATGTCTTATTGCACCCAACATTTGGAAGTCACATGATCTCATTTGCGAACTTCTACCAGCCCACCCTGCAGGGACCTGTTTTTCTTGTTCCCCTTCTACGTGGTGGCGGTGGTGGTGGTGACTTTACCGAAAGAGCCCAGAGCAAGACAGGGCTGCTGCAACACGAGGCTTTATAGACAGAGGCTTGAGGTGGGCGTCACCCAAGGGGGCAAGTGGGCGGGGTCAGACACGGAAGGGAGGTCCCGTCGCCGCACGCACGCACAGCAGCTGCGTCGAAGGAGGATTGGCTTGCTCGTGCAGGCGAGCACAATGGGTGAACGAGCTTCGTCGCCGCGCGTACAACAGCCTGCGTGAATGGGAGAGACGTGGAGCCTATTGAACAGCGGGAGCTGCCGCTACGTCGAGGCAGCGAGGCTGGCGTGGTTCCGTGTCGGAGGTAGGAGCGGGCAGAGCCTCACCTCGTGGGCAACGCAAGCTGCCGTGTTGGCTGCCGCAAAGAGTGAGAGGCCGGCACCACAGTCAGTTAAGACTGTAGCTGGTTAATGACGTCCGTTCCAATGAATTGCTCAGTTTGGGCCCATCTTCTCCGTTGAAGTTGTCTCTGTGTTTGCGTATCTCGATGGCTTCATGGACAAATCTTTCATGGTAGCCCGAAGGTTTGCAGAGTACCTTGGTCTCTGAAAAGAGCAATATCGCGTGAACCGAATAGGAATGTACACAGCTGGCAATCAACGCTTTGTGCAATTGGCAGGAGGATTTCTCCACAACTCTGGGCTGTCGCCTGGTGGTGATGCTGCTGGTGGTTGTTGTTGTTGTAATTACCGGCGAAACGTCAGGGTACTTGAACTGTAAATGTTGTAGTGGGTTCACGCTCCAACACACAACTGCCGAGTGCTGAACTAGTAAACTACACTATACACTACACACTATACACTACACTATACACTACACTACTATACACTACACTACTATACACTACACTATACACTACACTACTATACACTACACTACTATACACTACACTACTATACACTACATTATACACTACACTATACACTACACTATACACTACACTACTATACACTATACACTACACTATACACTACACTATACACTACACTATACACTACATTATACACTACACTACACTATACACTACTATACACTACACTATACACTACACTGTACACTACACTATACACTACACTAGACCCTACACTATACACTACACTACTATACACTACACTATACACTACACTACTATACACTACACTACTATACACTACACTATACACTACACTATACACTACTATACACTACACAATACACTACACTATACACTACACTGTACACTACACTATACACTACACTATACACTACACTACTATACACTACACTATACACTACACTACTATACACTACACTATACACTACACTATAATAGTAAATGTCGTAGTGGGTCTACGCTCCAACGCACAACTGCCGAGTGCTGAACTAGTTTCGTTTACGTGACAAACCTTACTAATTGGCCGTGTTGGCTAGTGGCGGCTTGAACGACGCATTTACATTGACGCAAATCGAACCCAAAAAAAACCCCCTCCATTATGGATATTGTTGGTCGCGAAAGCCGACTGCGGGGTTGTTAAACTGGCAGCAAGTGGCTCACACAACCGAGTCGTGGATTCTCAATGTCCTCTAAGTGTCGTCGTCCCCGTCACCTTCCCCCATTGTCGATCTGATGTTGAAAGATCCTCTACTATTGCGACGTGCTGAAGCGCAAAACGGAGCGCGTGATTTGGGAAGGCGATCTGCGAGAGGGAGACGCGGGCATCGGGCTCCTCGACGCGAGCCGTGACGATGAAGGATTGTACTCCTGTGAAGTCGTTAACATAGCGGAGAACAAACAGCAAAAGACCACCGTTCGCCTGACCATCCGTGAGCCGGGCAGCAGCGGCGAGCAATCAGGTAACAAAAAACAAAAAAGACTACCGAGGGTCAAGTTTGAAAGATTTCCCGGGAGGTGTTTTGAATGTAAAATGATTCATATTTTAGAGCGTAGACTATAACTTGCATGGTAAATGTATTTAATGTAGTATACAATGTACTGTATCCGTGTAAAGTATGGAGAGTAGAGGGAGACACGAGGGAGACGAGAAAGAGATGAGACAGAGACGAGAGGGAGACAAGAGAGAGACAAGAGAGAGACAAGAGGGAGACAAGAGAGAGACAAGAGAGAGACAAGAGAGAGACAAGAGAGAGACAAGAGAGAGACAAGAGTGAGACAAGAGAGAGTTAAGAGAGAGACAAGAGGGAGACAAGAGAGAGACAAGAGTGAGACAAGAGAGAGACAAGAGGGAGACAAGAGAGAGACAAGAGAGAGAGACAAGAGTGAGACAAGAGAGAGACAAGAGAGAGACAAGAGGGAGACAAGAGAGAGACAAGAGAGAGACAAGAGAGAGACAAGAGGGAGACAAGAGAGAGAGACAAGAGTGAGACAAGAGAGAGACAAGAGAGAGACAAGAGGGAGACAAGAGAGAGACAAGAGAGAGACAAGAGAGAGACAAGAGGGAGACAAGAGAGAGAGACAAGAGGGAGACAATAGGGGGACAAGAGAGAGACAAGAGAGAGACAATAGGGAGACAAGAGAGAGACAAGAGGGAGACAAGAGAGAGACAAGAGAGAGACAAGAGAGAGACAAGAGGGAGACAAGAGAGAGACAAGAGGGAGACAAGAGAGAGACAAGAGAGAGACAAGAGAGAGACAAGAGGGAGACAAGAGTGAGACAATAGGGAGACAAGAGAGAGACAAGAGAGAGACAAGAGAGAGACAAGAGGGAGACAAGAGAGAGACAAGAGGGAGACAAGAGAGAGACAAGAGAGAGACAAGAGAGACAAGAGGGAGACAAGAGAGAGACAAGAGAGATACAAGAGACAAGAGAGAGACAAGAGAGAGACAAGAGAGAGAGACAAGAGAGAGACAAGAGAGAGACAAGAGAGAGACAAGAGAGAGTTAAGAGAGAGACAAGAGGGAGACAAGAGAGAGACAAGAGAGAGATAAGAGAGAGACGAGAGAGAGACAAGATAGAGACAAGAGAGAGACAAGAGAGAGACAAGAGACAAGAGAGAGACAAGAGAGAGACAAGAGAGAGACAAGAGAGAGACAAGAGAGAGACAAGAAAGAGACAAGAGAGAGAGACAAGAGAGAGACAAGAGAGAGACAATAGGGAGACAAGAGAGAGACAAGAGAGAGAGAGAGACAAGAGGGAGACAATAGGGGGACAAGAGAGAGACAAGAGGGAGACAAGAGAGAGACAAGAGAGAGACAATAGGGAGACAAGAGAGAGACAAGAGGGAGACAAGAGAGAGACAAGAGAGAGACAAGAGGGAGACAAGAGAGAGAGACGAGAGAGAGACAAGAGAGAGACAAGAGAGAGAGAGACAAGAGGGAGACAATAGGGGGACAAGAGAGAGACAAGAGGGAGACAAGAGAGAGACAAGAGAGAGACAAGAGAGAGAGAGACAAGAGGGAGACAAGAGAGAGAGAGACAAGAGAGAGACAAGAGAGAGACAATAGGGAGACAAGAGAGAGACAAGAGAGAGAGAGACAAGAGGGAGACAATAGGGGGACAAGAGAGAGAGACAAGAGGGAGACAAGAGAGAGACAAGAGAGAGACAATAGGGAGACAAGAGAGAGACAAGAGGGAGACAAGAGAGATAAGAGAGAGACAAGAGAGAGACGAGAGAGAGACAAGAGAGAGACGAGAGAGAGACAAGAGAGAGACAAGAGAGAGACAAGAGACAAGAGAGAGACAAGAGAGAGACACAGCACGGGAATCTCGATGGTGGTTTCTCATTGGTGTTGATGCACCGCGAACAACAACAACAACAACACCGCCTCGCGCCGCTTTGTAACCCTTCGTCACTGTGAGTCATTTGACGCTTCCAGATTGATGCTCTTTGAGCCCTCCCCCCGTTGAGAGTGGCACGCAGCCTCCCCTCCGCTGCTCACGTTTCGCGTTTTTGTTGTTCGCAGATCCGCCGGCCGCCCCTGCAAACCAAAGATCAGAAGCAGGTAAACTTCGATGGAAAGGTGGCACCCTCTGTCTGTGTGTGTCTGTGTGTCTCAGGCACTGCGGGGAGCGGTGGTGCAGCGGTCAGAGTATTTATGTTGAGCTTCTTCCGCACGACAGCCAACCGCGCTAACCTGCGGTTCGGCGGCGGGGGGTAAGGACTAACAATCTGAACACAAAAAGGCAGTTCTCCAGAGGCGGAGCTCCAGTCCAGATGATGATTTAAAGGTGCGGACATCGCTCCCAGCGGTGCTTCCTGCTTCCTAGCACCGCTGGGAAGAGGCGTCCCAGACCGGCGTGAGAGCGGGCGACCCCGCAGAGGTCAAAGCAGGGCCGCTCGCACCACTTTCTCGCTCGTGCGTGACCCTGCGTGTGACCCTGCGTGACCCCTGCGTGTGACCCTGCGTGACCCTGCGTGACCGTGCGTGCGCGTGCGTGACCCTGCGTGACCCTGCGTGACCCTGCATGACCCTGCGCGTGACCCTATGTGACCCTGCGTGACCCTGCGTGCGCGTGCGTGACCCTGCGTGACCCTACGTGACCCTGCGTGTGACCCTGCGTGACCCTGCGTGACCCTGCGTGACCATGCGTGACCCTGCGTGTGACCCTGCGTGCGCGTGCGTAAGACCCTGCGTGACCCTGCGTGTGACCCTACGTGACCCCACGTGACCCTGCGTGACCGTGCGTGATCCTGCGTGTGACCCTACGTGACCCTACGTGACCCTGCATGACCGTGCGTGATCCTGCGTGTGACTCTACGTGACCCTACGTGACCCTGCGCGTGACCCTGCGTGACCCTGCCTCGTGTTCCGCGTCTCGCAGAGGCGAAGAGCGGAACGAGCGTCGCGGCGATCATCGCCGCGACGTCGCTCTGCGTGATCCTCGTCGTCGGCAGCCTGGTCTACGTCAAGTGGAAGACCAACGGGACGAGGGCCATGGTGACGGCCTACAAGGCCGTGGACCCGGGCCGCCAGGGCCAGGGTGGTGGCAGGCCGCTCGTGACCATCACCGTCACCGACGGGAGCTTCGGCGGCTCCCAGGTAAAGCAGGTCTCCGTTGTGTAGCGCTTCTCAGCACGGCGGTGACGGCGAGACAATTCGGTGAACGAACAACCCCCCGCCACCTTCCGGAGATGGTGCCTGAGGAAGACGTCGGCTTCGTTAGCCCTTTGCAGCAGTGATGGAGGAGGAGGTGGTCGCGGTATAAGATGTTCAAACACCAACTAGACACCGAGTGTATTGCAATTGAAGTCCGCCTTAACCACACAAACATGCTCGTGGTGGAATATGCAACCTCGATCGCTATCTCCTATCACTACCCTTATCAATACCCCAGGTCCCATCACTACCCCAACCCCTATCACTACCTCCTATCACTACCCTTATCAATACCCCAGGTCCCATCACTACCCCAACCCCTATCACTACCCCTATTGCTACCCCTATCACTATCTCCTATCACTACCCTTATCAATACCCCAGGTCCCATCACTACCCCAACCCCTATCATTACCTCCTATCACTACCCTTATCAATACCCCAGGTCCCATCACTACCCCAACCCCTATCACTATCTTCTATCACCACCCTTATCAATACCCCAGGTCCCATCACTACCCCAACCCCTATCACTATCTTCTATCACCACCCTTATCAATACCCCAGGTCCCATCACTACCCCAACCCCTATCACTATCTCCAATCACTACCCTTATCAATACCCCAGGTCCCATCACTACCCCAACCCCTATCACTATCTCCTATCACTACCCTTATCAATACCCCAGGTCCCATCACTACCCCTACCCCTATCACTACCCCTATTGCTACCCCTATCACTATCTCCTGTCACTACCCTTATCAATACCCCAGGTCCCATCACTACCCCAACCCCTATCACTATCTCCTATCACCACCCTTATCAATACCCCAGGTCCCATCACTACCCCAACCCCTATCACTATCTCCAATCACTACCCTTATCAATACCCCAGGTCCCATCACTACCCCAACCCCTATCACTATCTCCTGTCACTACCCTTATCAATACCCCAGGTCCCATCACTACCCCAACCCCTATCACTACCTCCTATCACTACCCTTATCAATACCCCAGGTCCCATCACTACCCCAACCCCTATCACTATCTCCTATCACCACCCTTATCAATACCCCACGTCCCATCACTACCCCAACCCCTATCACTATCTCCTGTCACTACCCTTATCAATACCCCAGGTCCCATCACTACCCCAACCCCTATCACTATCTCCTATCACTACCCTTATCAATACACCAGGTCCCATCACTACTCCAACCCCTATCACTATCTCCTGTCACTACCCTTATCAATACCCCAGGTCCCATCACTACCCCAACCCCTATCACTACCTCCTATCACTACCCTTATCAATACCCCAGGTCCCATCACTACCCCAGCCCCTATCACTACCCCTATTGCAACCCCTATCACTATCTCCAATCACTACCCTTATCAATACCCCAGGTCCCATCAGTACCCCTACCCCTATCACTATCTCCTATTGCTACCCCTATCACTATCGCCTATCACTACCCCCTATTGCTACCCCTATCACTATCTCCTATCACTACCCTTATCAATACCCCAGGTCCCATCACTACCCCAACCCCTATCACTACCTCCTATCACTACCCTTATCAATACCCCAGGTCCCATCACTACCCCAACCCCTATCACTACCCCTATTGCAACCCCTATCACTATCTCCAATCACTACCCTTATCAATACCCAGGTCCCATCACTACCCCTATCACTATCTCCTATTGCTACCCCTATCACTATCGCCTATCACTACCCCCTATTGCTACCCCTATCACTATCTCCTATCACTACCCTTATCAATACCCCAGGTCCCATCACTACCCCAACCCCTATCACTACCCCTATTGCAACCCCTATCACTATCTCCAATCACTACCCTTATCAATACCCCAGGTCCCATCACTACCCCTATCACACTACCCCAACCCCTATCACTACCTCCTATCACTACCCTTATCACTATCTCCAATCACTACCTTTATCAATACCCCAGGTCCCATCACTACCCCAACCCCTATCACTACCCCTATTGCTACCCCGATCACTATCTCCTATCACTACCCTTATCAATACCCCAGGTCCCATCACTACCCCAACCCCTATCACTACCTCCTATCACTACCCTTATCAATACCCCAGGTCCCATCACTACCCCAACCCCTATCACTATCTCCTATCACCACCCTTATCAATACCCCACGTCCCATCACTACCCCAACCCCTATCACTATCTCCTGTCACTACCCTTATCAATACCCCAGGTCCCATCACTACCCCAACCCCTATCACTATCTCCTATCACTACCCTTATCAATACACCAGGTCCCATCACTACTCCAACCCCTATCACTATCTCCTGTCACTACCCTTATCAATACCCCAGGTCCCATCACTACCCCAACCCCTATCACTACCTCCTATCACTACCCTTATCAATACCCCAGGTCCCATCACTACCCCAGCCCCTATCACTACCCCTATTGCAACCCCTATCACTATCTCCAATCACTACCCTTATCAATACCCCAGGTCCCATCAGTACCCCTACCCCTATCACTATCTCCTATTGCTACCCCTATCACTATCGCCTATCACTACCCCCTATTGCTACCCCTATCACTATCTCCTATCACTACCCTTATCAATACCCCAGGTCCCATCACTACCCCAACCCCTATCACTACCTCCTATCACTACCCTTATCAATACCCCAGGTCCCATCACTACCCCAACCCCTATCACTACCCCTATTGCAACCCCTATCACTATCTCCAATCACTACCCTTATCAATACCCCAGGTCCCATCACTACCCCTATCACTATCTCCTATTGCTACCCCTATCACTATCGCCTATCACTACCCCCTATTGCTACCCCTATCACTATCTCCTATCACTACCCTTATCAATACCCCAGGTCCCATCACTACCCCAACCCCTATCACTACCCCTATTGCAACCCCTATCACTATCTCCAATCACTACCCTTATCAATACCCCAGGTCCCATCACTACCCCTATCACACTACCCCAACCCCTATCACTACCTCCTATCACTACCCTTATCACTATCTCCAATCACTACCTTTATCAATACCCCAGGTCCCATCACTACCCCAACCCCTATCACTACCCCTATTGCTACCCCGATCACTATCTCCTATCACTACCCTTATCAATACCCCAGGTCCCATCACTACCCCTACCCCTATCACCACAACCCCACTACTCTTTATTTTAACCAGAGGGAGGGTAACTATAGGAATCGGGGTTTAAATGTCTTCTCTGATAACACAGTGGAATCAGGGGTAGACTGACTATAGTAGGGGCTTATAGGAATACGGGTTTATATATCTGCTCTGATAGCACGTAAGTGAGTATTGTTCCTGTTGTTTGATAATTTTTTCATTGATTTCATATATTTCTTTTAAATGATTTTGATAAACAATAGAGAAGATATCCGCATGTAATCATGTAGGCGAATCGTTAGCTGTTACTGTGGAATGTATGATTAATAAACATAATCAGATCCTGTGCATCTCCTTCGCATGTCTGTTTCTACACATGACAAACATTCAAGTATTTTATTTACCCATCCCATCAGCCGCCACAGTCAGATTTCATCAGCACCAAGTCAGTACACAGCGTAAGTATTTGAGTGGTTTTCAGTGCACAGTGCCCAGTTCTATCTCCCGTCGTGGCACCCAGTGTCCCTGCTCTCTGGCTGTGGGGGAACCTGTAGGGCCCTGTGTGTGTGACCCTGTGTGTGTGACCCTGTGTGTAGGGCCCTGTGTGTAGGGCCCTGTGTGTAGGGCCCTGTGTGTGTGACCCTGTGTGTAGGGCCCTGTGTGTAGGGCCCTGTGTGTGTGACCTTGTGTGTAGGGCCCTGTGTGTGTGACCCTGTGTGTGTGACCCTGTGTAGGGCCCTGTGTGTAGGGCCCTGTGTGTGTGACCCTGTGTGTAGGGCCCTGTGTGTAGGGCCCTGTGTAGGGCCCTGTGTGTAGGGCCCTGTGTGTGTGACCCTGTGTGTAGGGCCCTGTGTGTAGGGCCCTGTGTAGGGCCCTGTGTGTAGGGCCCTGTGTGTGTGACCCTGTGTGTAGGGCCCTGTGTGTAGGGCCCTGTGTGTAGGGCCCTGTGTGACCATGTGTGTAGGTCCCTGTGTGTAGGGCCCTGTGTGACCATGTGTGTAGGGCCCTGTGTGTAGGGCCCTGTGTGTGTGACCCTGTGTGTAGGGCCCTGTGTGTGTGACCCTGTGTGTGTGATCCTGTGTGTAGGGCCCTGTGTGTGTGATCTTGTGTGTAGGGCCCTGTGTGTGTGACCCTGTGTGTGTGACCCTGTGTGTGTGACCCTGTGTGTAGGGCCCTGTGTGTGTGACCCTGTGTGTAGGGCCCTGTGTGTATGACCCTGTGTGTGGCCCTGTGTGTAGGGCCCTGTGTGTAGGGCCCTGTGTGTAGGGCCCTGTGTGACCATGTGTGTAGGGCCCTGTGTGTAGGGCCCTGTGTGACCATGTGTGTAGGGCCCTGTGTGTAGGGCCCTGTGTGTAGGGCCCTGTGTGTAGGGCCCTGTGTGTGTGACCCTGTGTGTAGGGCCCTGTGTGTAGGGCCCTGTGTCTGTGACCCTGTGTGTAGGGCCCTGTGTGTAGGGCCCTGTGTGTAGGGCCCTGTGTAGGGCCCTGTGTGTAGGGCCCTGTGTGTGTGACCCTGTGTGTAGGGCCCTGTGTGTAGGGCCCTGTGTGTAGGGCCCTGTGTGACCATGTGTGTAGGTCCCTGTGTGTAGGGCCCTGTGTGACCATGTGTGTAGGGCCCTGTGTGTAGGGCCCTGTGTGTGTGACCCTGTGTGTAGGGCCCTGTGTGTGTGACCCTGTGTGTGTGATCCTGTGTGTAGGGCCCTGTGTGTGTGATCTTGTGTGTAGGGCCCTGTGTGTGTGACCCTGTGTGTGTGACCCTGTGTGTGTGACCCTGTGTGTAGGGCCCTGTGTGTGTGACCCTGTGTGTAGGGCCCTGTGTGTATGACCCTGTGTGTGGCCCTGTGTGTAGGGCCCTGTGTGTAGGGCCCTGTGTGTAGGGCCCTGTGTGACCATGTGTGTAGGGCCCTGTGTGTAGGGCCCTGTGTGACCATGTGTGTAGGGCCCTGTGTGTAGGGCCCTGTGTGTAGGGCCCTGTGTGTAGGGCCCTGTGTGTGTGACCCTGTGTGTAGGGCCCTGTGTGTAGGGCCCTGTGTCTGTGACCCTGTGTGTAGGGCCCTGTGTGTAGGGCCCTGTGTGTAGGGCCCTGTGTAGGGCCCTGTGTGTAGGGCCCTGTGTGTGTGACCCTGTGTGTAGGGCCCTGTGTGTAGGGCCCTGTGT